AAAAGCCAAACCAGCCACCCCACACGTCTACTTTTACAAAGTTCATAACAAATTTAAGTACTCACAAGAGGTAAAAGGTTCAAATAGATAATCAATTTAAACAAATGGGTGGGATTTATAATGTGGTTGCCAAAGAAACAAGATTACATGCTCAAAGGGGTTAACTACAATACATAAAACATTAGGTGGGTAAAAACATATATCTGGTTCAACAAAGAAATGCCTAAATCACTTTCAAGACTGAATAAAACTACTATTTCGCTTTGCAAACACACAGGGCAAGTTCTAAACATCAAATGCAATGCACATAATAACACTAAACCTCACACCCACATGGCACATAACTCACTTAGGATTGGACTATCAAGACACTCTAGTCAAAGCAGTTAAGCAAAGTTAAGATCATACAATTTAAGGTACTTATACATGAGTCAAAAACTGAGCCTAAGCGTCACAACTAAAGCACTTACTATTCTCAAGGCATAATACAATCAAGAGATATTGTCTTCCATTAAAATCATAGCACAAGGTTTCCTACTACTCTACAAAACAAAAATTTACTACACCCGATTCAAACAAAACCCTTGAAAAAGAACCGCGACACATAGAAAAACCAAGGGGGACTTGTTGCACTACCTACAAAAGAAAATGTTTTTGTCTTTTTCTTTTGACTTTAAACCCTCAATAAACCTTTCGAATAATATCCATCGTCGGGAAAAATCAAAAGTTTTTCAATTTTTATGTTTTTTTAAAAACAAATCTCCAACTACTAAAACTAACAAAACTAACACATATACATACAACATACAACATATATCATATCCCCCACCCCACACTTTAAGTTGGGTCATGTCCCCATGACATATAATTAAAAAGTATAAGGTAAAGAAAACTTCCTTGAATATCTAGTCGGGATCTGAGTCAAAGTCGAGCTCCATTCCTTGCATCCGAAGTAATGCACACATCCATGCGGACAGCGTTTTCTCGGACTTATTGGGATACACCCCACACTTATCTTTCTCACTCAATGCAGCCTTCTCTTTTGAGCCCTTCACGTTTCATTCAACACCTGTAGTTGCTTTTTGTGCCCCATTTTCTACATTCATATTAAAAGTCACCGTCTCCTCACCCACTCTAAGCATGAGTTTTCTCTTGTGTATATCTAGTATCGCTCTACCCGTTGCTAAGAATGGTTTTCCTAGGATGAGGGGGACCTCCTTGTTCTCCTCCATATTCACCACTATAAAATCCACAAGAAGTACAAACTTATCCACCCGAACTAACACATCTTCCACTATCCCCCTCGGGTATTAAAGTAGTTTGGTCTGCCAGCTGCAAAGATATTGGTGCAGAGCTTATCTCTCCGATATCCTTCTCTAGTTTCCTATAAATAGATAGAGGAATTAAATTAATTGAGTCACCAGAATCACATAAAGACTTATCAAAATTTATAGTTCCTACAGAGAAAGGTATATTAAAACTCCCTGATCTCCACAATTTTATGGGAGTTTGTTTTGCAATATCGCGTTGCAACGCTCTGTGAGCTTCACCACTGAGGTCTCTTCTATCTTTCTCTTCTTTGTAAGGATCTCCTTCAAGAATTTGGCATAAGCAAGCATTTGTGAGAGAACTTTTGTGAATGATAAATTTATATTAACCTATTTTAGCACATCCAAAAATCTCCCAAACTACTTGTCCAGCTTTTCTCTACATAGCTTCTGAGGGAAAGGTAAAGCAAGTATATGCTCGCTCTTCTCAGGTTCCTCCCTTCTCGAAGTTTCCTCCTTCTTCCTTTTGTCAGCTTTTATCTGGCCCTTCTTCTTTTTATCATCATCACTTTTCAACTGCTCCCCCCTTTATTTTGGAAAGTATCACATCTTTCTAGATCGGGGTGGGATCTTCAAAAACATGCCCACTTCTCAAGGTCACACCATTCACCGTTTCTTTAGGATTTCTCTCAGTATCAGCGAGGAGAGTTCCTGGAATCCTCTCAGACAATAGAGTGGCTAGCCACCCAACTTGTCTTTCCATGTTTTGAAAACCAGTGCCCAGTACTTTGATAGCTGCTACACATTCCCGTATAGCCGCGCTATGCGTTTCAAGCCTCTCATCAGTTTTCAGAATGAAGGCCTTCATGAGATCTTCTATGCCAGACTGAATGGGCTGTTGAGGCTGAAATTGTTGCCTCTGCTGATTTTTGGAATGCTAGAGTTCCTTGTCCCTGGGGTCTAAAGTTATTTTGTTATCATGCATTCGCGGTACCCCCAGGCGAACTCCATGAAAAACCGGGGTACCTCTGACCTATTGCATTAAAATTGTAGTTTCCCATAGCATTCACTTCCTCAGTTGAGGCTTGACACTCATGAGTAGGGTGTCCTCTTACACATATATCATAACCTGCATGAGGTTCACTCTGTATCGATGCTAAGGTCAGTTTCCTTATATCTTTGGCCATAGCATCAAGTTGTACCTGCACAGATGTGTTAGCATCAACCTGGTGAACACCAGTTTATCTTCTTCTTTCAGCACTCTCAGAGGGCCATTGATTTGCATCTTCGGATTACTTATCAAGAATTGTAACTATCTCCTCTGGAGTTTTCTTCATCAAGGGGCCTCTAGCTGCATTGCTCAATGCTCTACGTAAAGCCGGTGTCAATCCATCCCAAAAGTCCTGGAGTTGCATCGAGAGTTCAATTCCTCTATGCTGACACTTTCTAACAATCTTCTTAAACCTCTTCCATGCTTCAAAAACAGTTTCATTCTCTTTTTGGCAGAATTTATGGATTTCTCTTCTACACTTGCCCGTTTTAGCTGAGGAGAAATATTTATCAAGAATTTTTCTGGTCAACTCCTCCCAAGTTCTAATTGATCCCGTGGGCAAGCTTCGAAGACACTGCTTTCATCATCTTTAAGAGAAATTGGGAATGTCCTTAGATATACTGCATCTTGTGACACACCATTGTATTGAAAGGTGTTAACAATCTCCTCAAAATCCATTAGATGTGTGTTTGGATTTTCGTTTGGCTTCCCTCTGAACACACCAATTCTGAAGGGTTTGAAGCAACCCTTGATTTAACTCGAAATTGTTTGCTGCAACTGGATGTGGTCTAACACTTGATAAACCTTGAATGTAGACCGGTCTAGCATAATCTCCAAGTGATCTCCCATGCAAGGGTTGATGTTGATTAAGTCTGAGACCCCTCTCTTCTTCATAGATGTTCAGCACATTGCTAATAGCTGCTTCTTCAGTATCCTGTGCAGCTTGTTCTCGTTGTTGGGATGCTTCTCTCGTAGCCAAATCCATATTATCTTCACCGTTTACATCCATAAGTTCTTTGGTTGAGGATTGCCCAACCGTTTCTGTTGTCTCGATGAGATTTCTTTCCTTCTTCAACTGTCACAGTTATTTTGCATTTTTTGGCTCGTATGGTAGCACTTCCTTCGCAGAAGTTCTCTAGTCATGGACCACTGTAAACCTATAACATGCGCACAGTCAAAGAACACCAAAGGTAAAACAGGAAAAATAAAATAAAATAAAATAAAAAATTCTTGAATTAGCACTACAAACTATTTCAAACACTATTGATTTCTAATCCCCGACAATGGCGTCGAAATTTAACGAGCGCAAAACACCACTTTAATTGTGCTTGCTAGTCAAAGATAGTATAGTATAATTTCGTATCCACATGGATTGTAGTTAAATAATATTTTCGTAGTTTCTAGCTTGATTGCTATCCAGGAGAATCAACAATCAATATTTATATGATTAATAACTAAAATTAACTAAGAAGCTAAAGCTATTGACTAATGACAATCAAAACAAAGGTAAGCAAGGAAGTTATCAGTGGGAGAAATTAGAGGTTGATAGGATAGGTGCATGATAGTTATTTGGGATCTAACTCTAGATAATTCATTTCTAATGTTTAAGTGAGTCTCTCGAATTCACTCAACTATTAGTTCAAACGTTCAGCAAAAACTCCTCTCTCGATTAAGTCGTAACCTCACAAGATGAACCAATTTAAGCACGTGAAGATATGCAAGAATGCGTAGTGGATTGGTCTTTAAGAAAACCTCTTTCGATTATGCTCCTAACTAGGTTTAATCAATGATTCAACTAGCCTCTTTCGATTACTTAGAACAATTAATGAACTCAACCAACAATATAATGCAAAGATATCACAAGTTATGCCTCCCTCGATTACATGAACAAGTGAATATATATGCAACAATTATATCATCTAAAAATGCCTCAATACGTAAAAACTAGAGTTATAATAAACAAACAATCATCAATACACAATATCCATCAAACCTTAAAGAGAACTACTCAATAGATATGGAGCAATTCATTGCAAATATGTTTAAAGTAAAAGAAAACATAAAACGATCCAAACTCGGGTTTTGAGTGAGGATTGAATGATGAACTCCTTGTACTTTTGCTTCTCCAACTCCTCCTTAGCCTCCTTAGGTATCCAATATGTCCAAAGTCCCAAAAACAACATTTTCCATGTATTCATACTAAGTAGGGTCGGGCCTAGATGAAACCATCTTCTCCTAGCCGAAATAGGAAAATTACTCTGTAAAATATTGCACAAGCGTATGGGGCGACGCGCCATGCGGGGCATTAGTGGGAAATCTAGAGAGTTGAATTCCAACAGACAACAGGAAAATAGGCAGTCGCGGTGTCCCACACGCCACACTAGTGAGGTTTTCTTAGAGTGCAGATTGTTCTTGCGTTTTGACGTCCAAACCTGGTCCTCGACCCCCGAACTCGATCCCGACTTAATCCCTGGGCTTTTACTCATAATTCAAAGATCAGAATCACTCATATTCTTTACATAACATCTGCATAGCTTGGAATGACTCCTGCATGGCATAAAACACACAATAAATACAAAACACTAGCGATTAAAGCTCAAACACAATAAAAGTGCAGTAGATTAGAGTGCAATAAGAGAATAAACATGCTATTATAGCCTACCATCATCGCTCGCACCGTAATGAAAGAACATGCTTTTGCAAATCCTTTGGTAGAGATTCCAATTGATGATGATTACAAGCCACTGAGCACATACTTCCCAGATGAAGAGGTGTCACTCAATAGAGGAAGTAGTTCTGGAAGACAACCATGTATGTAAAATATATTTTGATAGGGTGGTCAATATCAAATAAGTTGGGATTGGGGAAATCCTCATCTCACCTATTGGACAGCATTAGCCTGTAACAACACGACTTTGATTCTTCTGTACCAATAGTACAGCAGAATACGAGGCTTGTATCATGGGTCTGAAAATGGCCCTTAATCTAGATATGCATGAACTATTAGTTATGGTTGATTTTGACTTGCTTATGCGGCAAGTCCAAGGAGAATTAGAGACTCGAGACATCAAGATTATTCCATACAGACAGTGTGTGCAAGACCTGAGCAACATATTCAAATCCATCGTGTTCAAGTACATTCCTAGGTTTCACAACGAGCTAGCCGACGCCTTGGCTACCTTAGCCTTGATGCTCCCTTATCCAGGCAACATTCATATTGATCCATTGGAAATACAAGTTGGGAATCAACACGGTTACTACAATACAATTGGGGAAGAACCAGATGGTGAACCATGGTATCATGACATAAAATGATTCCTGAAAAAAGGGAGTACCCAGAGCATGCCAAGGGAGATCAAAAAAGAACTATAAGGCGGCTCGTTGGTGGTTTCTTCCTGAATGGGGAAATTTTGTACAAAAGGACCCCAGATTTAAACTTGTTTAGATGCATAGATTCCATAAAAGCCAAACGGATCATGAGTGAATTGCATTGGGGGTATGTGGGCCTCACATGAATAGATATGTTTTGGCAAAGACGATTCTACGGGCAAGGTATTATTATCTTACTATGGAGCGAGATTGCTTCAGTTTTGTTTGCAAGTGTTACAAATGCCAGATTCATGGAGACCTGATTCACTCACCTCCATTAGAGTTGCATCCTGTGTCCTCTCCTTGGACGTTCATTGCTTGAGGAGTGGATGTTATTGGGCCAATCGAGCCAAAGGCTTCAGAAGGGCATAGATTTATTTTGGTCGCCATTGATTACTTTACCAAGTGGATGGAGGCAGTTACTTTCAAAGCAGTCACCAAGAAAGTAGTCGTAAACTTCGTTCATTCCAACATCATAAGAAATACATATCCCCAATACTCCAAAACTGGGCAAAAGTTTGTTTTATTTTTATGGTAATTCTATAAAAGGTTCCAAAATATGTAATTCAGTTCCAGGTTCTTTTTACCTTTTCCCGTTAAGGCTTTCAGGCCGATCATTGAGAATGTTGAAATCACCATTCCAAGAGTGTTGGAAAACCTTCCGCATCCAGTACCTTAGTAAAAAAAAAAAAAGAAATGAGAAAGTCTTATCGGTGAAAACCCGTATTGGCACCATAATGCGACAATGAGTAGATAAATGAGAGAGTCTTATTGGTTAAAACCCATACTAGCACCACGAGGAAACAAGGAGTAGAGAAGTGAGAGAGTTCAGTTAGCGAAAACCCGCAAAGGGCACTACTAGCCGACTGAGAGTCTTTGATACTCCAGCATGAGTACAACCAAGACAGTTTTAAGATGAACGTTTACGACATATTTTGTGAATTAGACAGTTCAGATGGATCAAGCATCAAATCAAAAATGCATGTCATGGTTCATTGAAGTCGGCACATATCTCCAGATAAGTCTCCCTATTCCTCTCCCCGAAAGGGACACCTTTTGTTTAAACACAGTTATTTTTCACTTTCAATTATTTTTCTATTTTTACCCATAATTTTCTTTAATATCTTTCGGTCTAATCTTGCATAAAAAATGAAGCAAAGAAATGGATGCAAAACTGGCTACAGTTTCTCCATAATACCGAGCATAATTTGGGGCATATACGACATCGACAAAGGAAGGAATCCATCTGTGATCTCTTTTGATAAGCCGAACAAAGTGTCTCAAAGAAACCGAAAGGTCGCATAAGTAAGACTTGCTTCAAGGGAAAAGATGATAAGCACTACAGACACAAACTGGTATTGGGTGCAAGACAACTAATTTTGATTTTAGGGACAAGGATTAGCGGTACCCTGGATATCCGAGTATGAAATAGTCAGGGGCTACGTCGGAAAACCGAAGTCTCCAGAATGCAATACAGAGTATCCGAGCACCTTGGTACCATACTAATAGAATCAATTCTTCAATAGCGGAGTGGCCGTGAATTCAAACTACACAGGACATCAAGGCCACAAACCGACCACCACTTTGAAAACTCACAAATTTTTCTTTGTTTGAAGCAAGAACAAAGAATTACAGAATGGTGATTCTCAAAGGATGAATGTTATCAAATGTAAGATCCTCAAAATTATGCATCACTATTGTTCACACCTCCTATTTTTGTAGCTTGACTCAGGTTGAACCTTTTCTCCTAGGGGGATCCAACTCATAGTTCCGGGTAAAAGTACTCTTTGCTCAGGATGTTTTACGTAGCTTAACTCTGGTAGAACCATTTCTCCTAGGGGCATCTAGCTCATAGTTCCGGGTAGAAGTACTCTTCACTCAGGTTGTTTTACGTAGCTTAACTCAGGTAGAACCATTTTGCCTAGGGTGATCCATCTTATAGTTCCGGGTAGAAGTACTCTTCACTCAGGTTGTTTTACGTAGCTTAACTCAGGTAGAACCATTTTGCCTAGGGTGATCCAGCTTATAGTTCCGGGTAGAAGTACTTTTCGCTTAAGTTGTTTTATGTAGCTTAACTAAGGTAGAACCATTTTACCTAAGGGGATCCAGGTCATAGTTTCGAGTAGAAGTACTCTTCGCTCAGTTTGTTTTATGTAGATTAACTCAAGTAGAACCGTTTCGCCTCTAGGGATCCAGCTCATAGTTTCGGGTAGAATTACTCTTCGCTCAGGTTGTTTCACATAGCTTAACTCAGGTAGAACCATTTTGCCTACGGGGATCCAGCTCATATTTTTGCGTAGAAGTACTCTTCGCTCAGGTTGTTTTATGTAGCTTAACTCAGATAGAACCATTTTTCCTGGGGGGATCCAGCTCATAGTTCCGGGTAGAAGAACTCTTCTCTCAAGTTGTTTCACGTAGCTTAACTCATGTAGAATCGTTGCGCCTAGGTGGATCCATCTCATATTTTCGGGTAGAAGTAATCTTTGCTCCAGTTGTTTTACGTAGCTTAACTCAGGTAGAACCTTTTCTCCTAAATATATCCAGCTCATATTTCGGGTAGAAGTGCTCTTCGCTTAGGTTGTTTCATGTAGCTTAACTCAAGTAGAATTGTTTCTCCTAGGGGGATCCAACTCATATTTCCGAGTAGAAGTACTCTTCGCTCAGGTTGTTTTACGTAGTTTAACTCAGGTAGAACCTTTTCTCCTAGGGGGATCCAGCTCATATTTTGGGTAGAAGTAATGTTCGCTCATGTTATTTTACGTAGCTTGACTCGGGTAGAACCTTTTGGCCTAGAGGGATTCAAAACTTTATCCATAATATAGGGTGCCAACCCCTGGTTATATTCCCTCTCGGTAATACATGGTGCCAACCCCTGATTACATTTTCTTTCAATAATACAGGGTACCAACCCCTGGTTACATTCCTTCTCAGTAATACATGGTGTCAACCCCTGGTTGCATTTCCTTTTAGTAATACAAGGTACCAACTCCTGGTTACATTCCTTTCAGTAATACAGGGTACCAACTCTTGGCTACATTCATTCTCAGTAATATAGGGTGCCAAACCCTGGTTACATTATTTCCTAGTAATACAAGGTGCCAACCCTGGTAATATTTCCTTTCAGCACTACAGGGTACCAACCCTTGATTACATCCCTTCCTAGTAATATAGGGCGCCAACCCACGGTTACATTCCTTCCTAGTGATACAAATCATCAACCCCTGGTTACATTCCTCCTTAATGATACAGGGCGCCAACCCCTGGTTACATTATCTATCTTTCGTACAGGGTACCCCCTGCTTCATTTTCTCATATAGCTAGTTTATACTACCGTATTTGTCTTTCTTTCATAGATTAGATAATATACAACTTTCTCTAATAACTCACAAAAATTTTCTAGTACAAAACTGGGGCAGAAAAATTTTGTTTATTTTGTTCGTCTTTTATGATGTTGCAAGACCCTGCCGTTAATCACAAATTATGACGATTAAAGCTTGCAGTTTTAGTTCTCGTCAAAAAAAGGAAGAAGAGGTCTTTCGATCACAAGACAGTCGGAGTTAGCTTTGATAATGTGTCAGCAACCCGGCTTTCCAAGAATCAAGTTCCAAACTCTGATCGAAAAGCAGGTCATCAATCTTCAAAGTCAAGGAACCCACCTTCCAATACAGGTTTGTAAGATTTCAAGTGAAAATGCAAGATTCAAGACACAAAGAGTAGATAAGACTTTGTATTTTTCTTTAATGTAATTTTCTTTTTCATTTTTTGATGTAATAACAGGATCGCGGCCCGGAGCCTCAATGGAACCTCACTTGACTCTCCAACTCATCATTCCACCATTTCATTTTTCCTTCTTGAACTACACATGACGTGATTCCCCTAAACTCGGGATATGTAGATTGTCCAAAACCAGGACCCGGTTGCACTCTTTTCTCTTGTCCATATTTCTTCCCCTTTGAATAAAGATATGCTCAAACATTAGTCACATAGCACACCTTGTCTTTACCTAAAAACTCTTCATGTTTCCAAGTAAAGTGGGGCATGTTGTGAGCACCTAATTTTTGACTATATTTAAGTAAAGGAAGGTGGGAATTTATTTTTTAAAAAAAGTAAAAGAAAGTGGGAAATAAAAAAAAATAAAAGTAAAAGAATTTGGGAATAAAAAAAAAGAAAAGTAAAAGAAGGTGGGAAATATAAAATAAAAGTAAAAGTAGGTGGGAATTAAAAAAAAAGTAAAAGCATGTAGAACATTTTAAAATGAAAGTGGAAATTGTTTTTTAAAAAAGTAAAAGAAAGTGGGAAATAAAAAAAAATAAAAGTAAAAGTAGGTGGGAATTAAAAAAAAAGTAAAAGCATGTAGAACATTTTAAAATGAAAGTGGAAATTGTTTTTTAAAAAAGTAAAAGAAAGTGGATTTTTTTAAAAAAAAGTAAAAGAATGTGGGAATTAAAAACAAAAAAAGTAATGAAAGTTGGAAATTAAAAAATAAAAGTAAAGGAAGGTGGAGAATTATTATTTTTTAAAAAAAGAAGGAAAATGGGAAGTGGGAATTGTTTATTTAAAAAAGATTTAAAAAATTGAAAAATTCTGAAATTCTTTCTATAAATAGAAGAGAAAATGGGAGAAGAGGGAGAGAAAAAAGAGAGCAGGGAATTGAGAAAAATAATCCTTCTTCTGTTCTAAGGAAATTTCTACTCGTCTAATTCTTTTTTCCTCTTTCTTTCGAAACATCCAGCAATTCATCACCCCGTTTAAGGCCCAAAAATACCTCAAAAATAGCAGCAAAATCACCCTAAAAACCAAATTCAAAAGCTTCGAACTCAATTAAAAAGATTGCTCCAAATACTAGCCCGAAGAGGTCGAAGTCGAGTTCAGCTCGACGGGATTTCTGTTCGCCGCCTCTGTTTGTGCTTCGTTTGCACATGAATTTGAAGGTTTTTTGCACCATA